ATGATAACAACAAGGCGGCTGTCTCCCGCCTCGTGATTGGCCTTTAAAATAGGCTCACCTATCGATTGCAGACAAATTAATCAGTCGAGATTAAATGATAACAACAAGGCGGCTGTCTCCCGCGCCGTAATTGGCCTTTAAAATTGGCTCACCTATCGATTGCAGACAAATTAATCAGTCGACATTAAATGATAAGAACAAGGCGACTGTCTCCCGCGTCGTGATTTTTCTGAAAAAAAGAAAGATTATGGCGTATGAAGAAACTAAAAATTGCTTTGCAATGGTCGTTTAAAAAAAGGAGGATTGAAACAAAAGGGAAAAAATCGAAGGAAAACTGTGTTTGCTCTTGAACGCGCTTATTTTAACTCAAATCCTTGTAACAAACGGCAATTTTTATAACAACTGACAGAGCATAATGAAATAAATATATGTTGATCGCATTTCTGTTATTTAAAACTGTTTTAAAACATATATTGCATATTGTGATCCTTGGAACTGTTTAAAGAAAACCCAAATTGCACAATCTGGTATTCAAAACCGTGTAAAAAGCAAAATTTGCACAGCATAATGTTAACAGTCAGCTCCAAGAATAGACAGGAATAGACAGGTTTGAAATAACATTGTCTTCACGAGGACAAAATGGAAAAAAGCATTGATCACTAAACTGAAAAGGATTTGTTTTAATTAAGCAAACAAAGGCAATTTCCAAATGGGTTTTTTTAATTGATTATGCAAAAGATCATCATCAACTGTGAAGAAAAAGGTGGAAGAAGAACGAAAATAGTGGCCGCCAGCCTTGATCAATTAATGTGTGTACTATATGGAAGTTTCCTCGCGAAAACAGAATTGAAAGCTTCCTAGCTGATAACGATTTGTGGGAGAGAAGAAAACGAACAAGCTGATTCTTGCCACTCAGGCACGCTCAGTTTCACTTAAGTCCTTATTTGATACCCCATTCGCACCGACAAAAAATGTTTTAGTTAAACTGGGTTTCACTAAATGAAAATCAGAATCAGAGAACCGCTGAACAACTGGATTTTCTACAGGATTCAAGCGATCACGAACTTTCTATATTAGAATTAGAAAAATATTTGTTTATGCAGCTTATATGAAGAAAACAAACTATAAACCGTGTTTAACAAGACAGTTTTAAAACATGTTAACGCTTTAGGTGTGACTGGGGTATTATTTAGATCTGTATCTCCCATCAGCTTATACTTTTGATAACATCTCCTGTTTGATGACCAGACTCTAATGGCTTCTTTGGTTAACAAATGAAGATGCACGATAAAGCAGTAATGTGCTGCTGATCATTATCAACAATCAAAACAAACTAGAGTGGTTGCATGATAAGATGTTGGCAAGCAGCCTCACGAACTGATAGGCATAAAGAAGGAGGCTATTTCACTAGGAGAGAACAATGGTGACCTTTGTGTCATCTCGAGTACGAAAGGAAACACTCAGTGCCCCATGGCAAAAGTACTCCTTGGTTCGCTGTTCACTTGTTTCCGTTTACAGGCTATGAATGCTTCTGTTAAGGAGAAAGGTAACTGTGCACCAGTGTTAGTTCATAGGAAAAATCAATCTCAGAACACCGTGTTTCTTTGAGGGAAACGGCTCGTTATCGCCCCGGCGGCAATTTTGGCAGACTCAAATTTTTTATATTAAGTCGTTCAAACTTTTCACTCGTCACGACTAAGTATCATGGTTGCAGAAACGATTCAAAAGTTTGTTTTTGCAGTGTTGAAAAGAGCCCCAACGTAACTATATACTTCATCTTCGATCACTCAAGATTTAAACGAGTTAGCGACCCTTAACACTAATACCATCAACAGCTCAAGAAATGTTGGACCTTCATTGTCAAAGCTTAGTTATAAGCGGACTTCTTTAAAACTAAGGGTACAGCAGTCTGATTTAAATGAGGAGCTTTTGTATGTCGAATGTCAGTTATCTGTTTCGTGAAACCTGATTGGTCAGTTTTGCCAAGATTCTCTTAAAGTATTGTTTGCCAAATTGGATTGGACAGTTTCGATCCTTTGAAAAAGTTGGGTGGATCTATTAGGGTTGATCGGTCGCTTCCGATAAGCGGCAATCTGTTCACAGCATTTTAAGAAGGATCGCGTTGATTGACCAAGATATTTCACAAGGGCAGGGCAAATCTAAAATATAACTCGAGCAAATGAGTGAATGAAATAAGCAATCAGTTAAACTTTGGTCAAACTGAAGTCTTTGGTCTTCTCTCTTTATAGGATATTATCTACGAAGGTGGAGAATATCGCCCAAGGTTTCCACTTAATAAATGAGAGAATACAACGACGACGATTGCCGTGATAAGCCAAAAATGTTTTCCTGGTTACTTGTATGAATTTTGTACCGTCTTTTTGAAATATTGCAGCTTGAATTTGAGGACAGGTTATCCCCTCTCGTTTCAGAGACTGAAACAGCTAGGCGTTTAATTAATTAGCGTTTTTGAATTTTCAAATTTAAACACAGGAAAAACGTAAAATCCTCGATTACACCAATTGAAGTAAAACTAATTTTCACCGAGTCGTGGAACTCTTCAGAATACTTTCAAGTTTCGTACCGATCAATCACGGGACCTGAAAGAAGGGATTCTGATTTGAGGATTGCTTACCGAGATCTCAAAAAACTTTAATTGACTCAGCAAAATTAAGCTACGTGGCTCTACTTTGGACAAACCGGAACGGGACGGTTACAAGAAGTAATTTTTCCCAAAATCCTTTCTCTATATATCTATGACGTACCATATGTATCTTTTGAGTGATGCCGGAAGTTCACTATGTCTACATATAAATGATAAAAGAATTCTTTGAACAGCTGTCAGTGTGTTAGACGAGATCTCTGTCAAAATTCCGAGATTTTCGAACCTTGGCCAGTTGGGATGTGTGAACCCTGTTGAAAAAAGAGCCGTTCAGAATGACTGAGTTCACGTTAAAAGGAGCACCTCACTATATTTTTATCCTTCCCTTTTTTTCGTTTTCACATCATTTAAGGGCGAAGTAAGACCGGAAGACATACCAGGAAAGAGCAAATGAGGCTAGTCCAAAATGGCAGCGGCTTAAATCACGTTTGATTATGTTTTATTTGTATCTTAAGACCTCATTATAATACAGGATATGAAAACGGATGTCAGTTAAATGCTTAAGAAAGTAAATCAAGGTTATAAAGTATTTTCAAAGTTAAATCAAAAGATGAAAATTTAGAATGTGGATCTGACGACTTCACTTGCCTCACGTAATGGAGAATTCGTTGCGAAAAAGTACGATCCCTTAGTTACAAATGCCCGCGTTTCGTTGAATGGTACGAAAACAAGTCGTTTGCATCATCCAAACAATTACCTTGACTAACATCATCAAGTTTAGACATTCCAATGAATGGCAACTCCTCTAATCTTTTCTCATTACAATTACATTTGGTTTATTGAATTTTTCCCAAATAGCTACTCACATCAGGGCCTTTTATGAATAAGTCCTCACCAAACGGGTTTTAGCCGAGGACATAACTCTAGAGCCAAGCACGAGTGCAATTTCAGTGTTGACCAAGGAAATAAATAGGGATTTAAGTTGCATTGTGATCGCAAAAAAGGTGGCTCAACACGAGTGCAAGGAGCCTGAAGATTTCTATGACGCCACAAGTCCATGTTTTTGATGTAATACCTTTTGGAAATTTCTCTCTATAATTCTAGAAGAAAGATGTTTCAGTGGGTGTTAGTTAGGACTTACTTAAAACTCTGAAACGGCTTTCTCTAAAGCCCTCAGCTGTTAAGGAGTTTCCTAAAAAAAAACCTTTAAAAGATATGAAAAAAGAATTTGTGGCAAAACGTTAGAACCATGTCTTTTCATGAACATAAGACGAAGAAAAAATTATGATTTACCGTGATTTATCATAAGGAATCAAACCTCAGACGTTCGGATTCCGAACATCATGGTAGAGCGTCAAAGAGCGTCGGAGAGCGTGGTGTAACGTCGGTTGGCGGAATACGATAGTCTGAGGTTCGATTCTTCATGGGGACTCTTACTCGAGGTTACTTCAATGGTTGTTGCATCAGAAACCTTCTGTAGTCCTTTATTTGCAAGTCCAATCCACAACAATACTTGGTAGAACATTTGCAGGGGGCTTGGGACCTAATCAGAAAAACAATATGGTGGATGACTTCCCGTGATGTGGAATTACGTTAGTTCTTCAATCTTATTCCTCCTCCGGGCGGTATCAAATTGTTTTCCCTCTGCACTGACTCACCAGATCCTGAGAATACTGCCCTATCTTTTTCTTGGATGCGTTTGTTATGGATTTGACGCCATATTTTTAAAAATACAAGGAGAGTACGCCCCTTACATTGGAGCTGTTGCTGACAATGCCGCCCATGGGATCATTGCTTTCTTCAGTTGGTGTATCGTTTGCGAGATCCACACCCGAAAACATCTGATTGATGGGATTCTTTGCGGTATCATTGCTTGTGCAATTGATTTAGATCATTTTATTGCTGCTAAATCTTTCAAACTTAAGGTAAGAGACACAAATCAGCGAGCGGTTCTGTACCCTTGACTGAACATGAAGAGGGGTGTTAGAGTTTGAGATAATCACATTTTATGCATGGAACACTGAGTAATTTTTTGTATTATATTTTATCATGCCAATAACAACTTGGTCTTTCAATTTTTTCCCTTTATTTTGAAAAACCATGCGGTGAAATTGCCCATTCTGATTGGCTAACTTTATTGGTGATGAACTTCCAATGATGAGCCAAGAAAATTTCCTTACAGGGCTCACCAGATAAATACCCGGGAATTGGAAAAGTGAACCAGAAAACAAAACTATCCTTGAGCAGAATACCTCACAAAAATGGATCTTTGATTGAGGTACAATTGATTGAATTTCCCCAAATTACCTGTATCCATGCCATATGCCAAACTCAACAGAAAACCTGGAGTTTCACTCTGCATTCAGGAGACTCCAGAATAATAAGGGACTTTTTACAAAGCTCTTAAGTTGATTTGCTGGCAACGAGTTACCTCCCTTAAGGGGGTATTGGGACACTCATGCACTACTTTATTTGGTGCAAGAATTTCCTCTGTTTGAATGTGTTTAAAGCAAGTATGAAGGGAACAGGAGAGTAAACTTTATTTAGAAGGATAATTAATTTCAAAGGTGCTTAACTAAAGAAAAATTAGTGATTGTAGGATTGAATTTGTCTTGTGCTCTGTATTTGGCATAAATGCTAGAGGATTCCACTGAATACGATTTATATTACTTATCACTTATCCATGTTAAATTGTACAGGATGCCCTTCAACTTAAAAACAGGCCATTTCTTCATACTACAACAGTTGTCTTCATTGTGGTGCCAATGTTACAGGTGTGGCTTGCACAGAACAATTGCTTTCTTCGATCCCTACCATACTCGTTTACAGTTGGGGTTACTTCACACCACCTGCGAGATGGGAACAGGCGTGGCTTATGGTTTTGGCCCCTTGGGAGTACACCACCTCTGCCATACTGGATATACATATGTTGTATTGTTGCCCTACCTTTTATTGTCAAAGAAACAAAAGCTAACATTGACAAGCTGGTTGTTATTCCTGAAAACAATGTAGTCCTTCTGGATGTATGAAAATTAACTGAATAGAGCAATTTATCCATTTCTTTTATTCAATATAGGGACATACTGACAAATTTCATTCAAATACTTTCCCATGACTTAATACAACAGCTGCATAACTCAAAAGGGCTTTAGCAATAGAAAAGTGCATATTTTGCTTAGGGTTATAATTAGGGTTTGAGAAACTCAGGTAAATAAACTGTATGAGGATGATAAGTTGTCTGGCATTTTAGTAATTTTAGGCCTCTTACCTACCCCTTCTTGGGCCCAAAACTGAATGGGTCACCGCTAAAAACTGCAAAATCAATGAATTCTCTTTTGGAATGATCAAAAGCTCCTCTTAAAAATAGGGAAACAACACACAAACCCTATGCTTGAGTAATTGGTTTCTTAAATGCTGACTTATACCACTGCAAATTACTGCACAATAAATGGTGATGTTCTGGCGAAATGAGAAAAATAAAAGCAGGGGGAAAATGGAAAAAGAGAGACGATAAAGAAAACAAAAACAAAGATTTGTTTAGGCAGAGACTGATTCAGAATCCTCTCACAAAAGAGGAGATGCACTATCCATCAGCCCAAGTTTGCAGAGTGTGTTACTAATCCATAATGAGTCTTTTCAGTGGCCTACTCAACTGTTTGGCTAATTCTCTTTTCCGTTCTTAAGTTACTCTGCTATTTCCAGTGCATTAGCGGAAATTCAGCAAATCCTGGAACCTGATTGAGGTGGTAAGAATCTTCTGCTCCATTCAAGGGAGAGACCGTCAATCTTTAAACTTTAGAATACTTGTATAACTAATCGATATTCTCTCCCACTCAACCTCATTTCTTTGGTTTGCACCATTTAATGTCAAAATAGTCTGAATATGAGATAATTGAAACGACTAACAAAGTGTTTGTGAAGAATAACACATCCTTAACGTGAAATTCTACAAACAATCAAGTTTGGAGAATTTTACAAGTAAAATTAACGACTTCACCTCTTCTTTATAGAAGCTCAAGAATACCCTATCTCTGAATAAATCTTTACGTGATGGTTTGCATTCAAGTTAAACAATGACTATACTTCACATGTCTACAAAATAAACACTTCTATTAAAATAACCGCAAAATAAGCGCAAATTTGACTAGTGTACCGCTAATTGCCTTTCAGCCTTGTCAAAGGAGGTCTTATAATTGAATTACAAATACCAGTGGTAAAAATTCTACAAAGATGATTTCTTAAGAATAATATTTCAGAGTAAAAAGTTACGTTTCAATAATTGCGATTTATAAATTGAAATCGACGTTTTAAAAGAAAATTGAATTTTCTCGTGCTGTCTCACAAATAAAACATTTCAAATTGTCATGGAATTGTCATTTAATTTCTGTATTTTAAAATGATTCTCTCCTCTAAACGTTTCTCCTTTTCTTTACTGGGGCACTATTGAGTCAATGAATTGAATCTGATGCAGTTGTTTGGATCAATTATAAATTTTGCACATATTGAAAAGGGCGGTAAAAGGTATGTTTGCATTTCCAGAGGAAATCGCCCTGATTAAAAAAAAAAAAACTTTGATAAACAACAGCCAACTACAATTAACCTTTGAATCAGTTCCACTGATCGAAGTATATCAAAATTAATTCAAATAAAACTGAATCACGAGGAAAGCCTCATTTTCGTGAGCACAATTTGTCGCTCCTAGTGCAAGATTCACGACTTACAGCCCAGTTCAACTCTAACTTGGTCTGTTGGCCCAAATATAAAACTTTCACCGCCGCCTGTACTGCTTCAAATTTTTATGTAGCTCTTTGATGTTCAATTCAATGCAGGCGCTAAACCAGGTGGGGTATATCTCGTTCCCTCGAGCCGTAACTCGAAGGCGGTCTACCATCTGACAGGAGGCTCTCTCTTTCATCAGTTGATACACTTGTCTGGTTAGGAGACCGACGGCTGCGACGCCTGCGAGGTCTTCGCGCATGTCTACGAACTTGATCCAAGTCACTGTCAGTGGGAGGAGGTGGCAGATTCTCATCATCAAATGCCCACGACATATGCAGCTGACCACGCCTCCACGGTGTGCGCGCAATCACATGGAAAAACGTCTCGACTCGGTGCCAAAGTAGGGTTAGGAACTGAATCACGATAATTAACCCGTAAATACAGAGAAATGCAAGACCCAGCACGTTGGTTCCCAAGACCTCCAGTCTAGTCTGTCTCATTAGAGTAATGATCAAAATAATCCAAATCATGTTTGCGATGAAAAAAACCATCAGAGTGTAATTACGGAGATCTTCAAGCTTCTCTTTGAGTTCCTCGACGGCCCCAAAAACTGCTGATTCAGGTAAGAGACAAAGTTGGCGCAGACCTGTCGATCAATCCGTTTGAACAGGTAAGTTAAATTATTGACATTTAACGTGAAAAAGACTTTTTATTTTTTTCCACTTGTTTAATATAAGGATTGGAAGAAGGAGAGGAAAATTAGAACGAAATTTCCATGTTGTCACTGATGTCTCGCTTAATTTCCCTATAAACAACATCTTTCCAGCAGGGATATCATGAAGGTATATGTATGACCCTACCTGAACCTTAGGAAAGTTTCGTTACGAAATGCGTAATACATGATACTTTAAGGAAAACCCGCTCCCCCTTTCAAAGTTAAGAAAAAGCGAAGTGCACACTACGATCACGTGAAATTGTTTCATCGACATCACAAACGGTTGTGGAAGTTCAGAATTCCCAGAGTGAAAAAAAGTTTTCTCATCTTGAATTAAATTTTAAACAAAGACTTATCGTAGTAGCCGTAAGGTCACGTGATGCGTTTAGATGCGTTTAGACCAATCGCACGCGGGCAAAACTTTTTGAAGGATCATAATTTAGATTAACATATCACAAAATATAAAGCACATCACAGGAATGGAGCAGTATCTACCTTACCTTCCCAAAAAAAGAATTCATGTCCACCATCCTGATTGTCCACTTTTAAATCCATGACATGCAATTTGTTTGTTTCTTCACGAGTTAAACGAATTCGTCTCTGAGCTGTAGAAGAAAACAAACTCTCTTGAGCCCTTTCACCCCTAAGATCTCAAAATAAACTCTCCTCACGATCTATAAAACATATCTTTTAAACTTAAGCTCTGAGAAATTGGTGTTAAATAAAATAGCGTTCGTAACTTTTTTGTTTCGCCTCACCACTTATCTACTTGAAAAAATCTCAACGAGAAATTACAGAGCTTTCTCTACCACTCTTGTTTCATTTCCCTATTAACTCATTTTCTTGAAAATTTCCCCATCATACCTCTTTACCCCCCCCCCCCCCCCCCCCAAAAATGCTCTCCTAAAAAGAAGGAGATATAAAAAAAGAAAAAAAAATTGCATTGGTTTTGCGTTGCTTCACTCTGTGACTGGCCTGGAAAACTCGCAAAACCCGCACAAACAGTCAGACGTAACTTTAGAGGCAATTCACGGTTTGGTCACTAGCGTTTTCGCGCATGTTGAGCAAATCACTTGTCTATTGTCATATTGTGTCAAATCACTTGTCTATTGTCATATTATATCAAATCACTTGTCTATTTAGCTTTACTCCGCGCTATGATTCCTCAAGGAGACTCGCTCCACTCTCCTCCGCGCTATGATTCCTCAAGGAGACTCGCTCCACTCTCTCAACTAATCAGAGGCAACACTAAAACTAAACAAGACTTGATCGCCTGCGTTTTCCTGGGCTTTGGGCAGTTTGCTTGGTTTTACTTTGAGTTCTCATGGACTCTTTAAGGTTTTATCCTTTCTTCTGATTAATTGTTGTGATAACTTTGGTTGTGGGTTTACGATACTCGATCGAAAAGTACTGTCCTTTCTATGGCACTGATTGGCAGAATTTACCTTCACTCGGGTACTGGACTTTCTGGATCGCCTTGTAGAGCTTATCAAGATGGCCCGGTTTATTGATTCCGAAGGTCTCTTTAAGCGTTTCCTTGTTCATAATTTTTAGATCTTCTAACATTCTAGGTTCCGTGTAGCCACTCTGAGTAAAGTTAGTCCAGTATTCATCAAGTCCTAGGTCAGTTAACCAGTCCTCGACATTTTCCTGAAAATAAAGTTCTCATTAAAGAGAAGCCAAACAATATTTGATGTCTGAGCCTCGGACAAAATACAGCCAAAAACTTCTTGTCCACTCAGACCTGAGTGAAACTGTAACAACTGCCTTGTGCAGAGCGCGTTGCAAACTTTTCGTATCTAGGTTAAACTAATTTTGTGGATTAATGATACGAACGGGACTGACATACAAATACATGCAAACACTTGGAGTGCAAATGGCTTCTCATCCTAGCTAGGATTCGATAAACATGCAGTAATTGAGGGACCAAAATGGATTCTAGGTGGGGTGGTGTACGTAGTTGACATGCCATTCAGTTCATTCGGTTGTCAGAGACAAAGCTGGCGTGATTGAATTAATAATTACCGGAACTTCTTGAGGAATATCCATTTGGGGTAGTTTTTCAATTTCCATCAACAACCTCTTCCGGTGACCACGTTTCTCAATTCCGATGGCTTTCAAATGCTGTTCGGAACAAAGAAGTAAAACAAAATAACTCTCAACATCTTGGTGAGAATGCGACTCGCTCCCGAAATCAAGCAAGTAGCAAGCCAGATCTCAAAATATGGAGGCACGTATCTGGTATAAAAAATAACGTTTTAGAATACTTGACCTACTTAAAGGGTACGTGACCACGACTCGCAAAAATTGATAAGCAGCTCGCTCACTTTATCGAAAACGCTGCCATCATTCACACACAAATAATGTTTCATTTTAATAATTCCACTTGTGAACAACCAGAGTGCAACACAATAAACTAATGAGGAGCTACAGTGTATATGTGACATCCGGTACTCACCTTGTCAGTCATACCAACGATGAAACTAACGCTGTCATAACCACTGTCTCTGAAGTTTTGGACGTAAATCTGCAAGAGACAGTGCAACAATAAAAGTGCTTTGTAACAAAAAGCGGGAGTAAAACCGCATTTGTTTTGAACTGTATTTGAAACTCGTCAGCAAAAGGCAAAAAAATAACGGAAGGAGAGGGAAAAATCTCGTTTCTATACCTTTTTCCACCGATTAGCGAAACAATACATTCGTCTTTGAAGACAGTATTTAGCACCTTCGTTAGACGAGGACTATTACGCTGTTAACCACTCGTTCAAACCAATAGCAAAAGACAGTCACAAGGA